CCTCGAGATATTGACATAATGGCATTGCAGGTCTGGAATCAGGATGATAACCTGATAATTGTAAATGCCTACAGCCCACCAGCAAGCAACACGTGGACAAAGGAAGAACTGGATGACAAACGAGAGGGCCTCATAATGGTCATGAGAGATATTATTGTACAAGCAGATAAAGATAAATCACGACTGTTGATACTGGGGGACTTCAACTTTAGAGCAATAGACTGGGAGACCTATGAAGCAAGAACGGAGGACTTTTGGACATGCAGATTTGTGAACCTCATTCTGGAGACATTCTTGTATCAACACATAAAGCAAGCCACAAGAATGAGGGAAGGAGATATACCGTCAGTAGTGGATCTAGTATTCACCAGGAAAGAAGAAGAGATTTTTGACATCCAGTACCTTCCTCCCTTGGGAAAGAGTGATCACGTCCTGTTAGACATTAAATATGCTTTAAGATATCATCTAGAAGAAAATGGGGACATTGAAACAGTTGATAAACTCGATTTAAGGAGAGGCAACTATGGGGAACTTCAAAATTTTTTTAATGAGTGTAATTGGACAGAATTGTTGCTAGTCAGGGAAGTAAATGAAATGTATGCCAAATTTTTAAAACTATACGAGGAAGGCACACAAACATTCATACCAAAACAGAGATGCAGGGCCAGAAAACAGGATTGGTTCAACAGAAATTGTGAGAGGGCAAGAGACCAAAAGACACAAAAATGGAATCAGTATAGGAAGAGGCCAAACCCCCAAACATACCAGCGATACAAAGATGCGAGAAACAACTATACAGCAGTAAGGAGAGAGGCAGAAAGAAATTTTGAAAAAGGGATAGCAGATAAATGTAAAACAGAACCGGGCCTATTCTACAAATTCATAAACAACAAATTGCAGGTAAAGGATAATATCCAGAGGTTGAAAATGGGAAACAGATTCACGGAAAATGAAAAGGAAATGTGTGAAACACTAAACGAAAAGTTCCAAAGTGTGTTTGTACAAAATGAAATCTTTAGGGAACCAGATACAATAAGAATTCCAGAGAACAACATAGAACACATATAGGTGTCTAGAGACGAAGTGGAAAAAATGCTCAAGGAGCTCGGTAAGAACAAAGCAGCTGGCCCAGATGGCGTTTCACCATGGGTTCTGAGAGAATGTGCATCTGAGCTCAGCATTCCACTTCACCTGATCTTTCAGGCATCCCTGTGTACAGGAATCGTAGCAGACGGGTGGAAACAGGCTAACATAGTTCCAATCTACAAAAGTGGCAGCAGGGAAGACCCCCTCAATTATAGACCTGTATCTTTGACAAGTGTAATAGTGAAAGTATTGGAAAAACTAATCAAAACTAAATGGGTAGAACACCTAGAGAGAAATGATATAATATCAGACAGACAGTATGGTTTTCGATCTGGAAGATCCTGTGTATCGAATTTACTCAGTTTCTATGATCGAGCCACAGAGATATTACAGGAAAGAGATGGTTGGGTTGACTGCATCTATCTGGACCTAAAAAAGGCTTTCGACAGAGTTCCACATAAGAGGTTGTTCTGGAAACTGGAAAATATTGGAGGGGTGACAGGTAAGCTTCTATCATGGATGAAAAATTTTCTGACTGATAGAAAAATGAGGGCAGTAATCAGAGGCAATGTATCGGAATGGAGAAATGTCACAAGTGGAGTACCACAGGGTTCAGTTCTTGCACCAGTGATGTTTATTGTGTACATAAATGATCTACCAGTTGGTATACAGAATTATATGAACATGTTTGCTGATGATGCTAAGATAATAGGAAGGATAAGAAATTCAGATGACTGTCATGCCCTTCAAGAAGACCTGGACAAAATAAGTATATGGAGCACCACTTGGCAAATGGAATTTAATGTTAATAAATGTCATGTTATGGAATGTGGAATAGGAGAACATAGACCCCACACAACCTATATATTATGTGAGAAATCTTTAAAGAATTCTGATAAAGAAAGAGATCTAGGAGTGGTTCTAGATAGAAAACTATCACCTGAGGACCACATAAAGAATATTGTGCAAGGAGCCTATGCTATGCTTTCTAACTTCAGAATTGCATTTAAATACATGGATGGCGATATACTAAAGAAATTGTTCATGACTTTTGTTAGGCCAAAGCTAGAATATGCAGCTGTTGTGTGGTGCCCATATCTTAAGAAGCACATCAACAAACTGGAAAAGGTGCAAAGACATGCTACGAAGTGGCTCCCAGAACTGAAGGGCAAGAGCTACGAGGAGAGGTTAGAAGCATTAAATATGCCAAAACTAGAAGACAGAAGAAAAAGAGGTGATATGATCACTACGTACAAAATAGTAACAGGAATTGATAAAATCGACAGGGAAGGATTCCTGAGACCTGGCACTTCAAGAACAAGAGGTCATAGATTTAAACTAGCTAAACACAGATGCCGAAGAAATATAAGAAAATTCACCTTCACAAATAGAGTGGTAGACGGTTGGAACAAGTTAAGTGAGAAGGTGGTGGAGGCCAAGACCGTCAGTAGTTTCAAAGCGTTATATGACAAAGAGTGCTGGGAAGACGGGACACCACGAGCGTAGCTCTCATCCTGTAACTACACTTAGGTAATTACACACACACACACACACACACACACACATCCTCAGGAAGCAGCCCGTAGCAGCTGTCTAACTGCCAGATACCTATTTACTGCTAGATGAACAAGCACATCAGGGTGAAAGAAAGACTACGAACCCCAAGCACTGTCCACTCAGCTGTCAGGCCCCTATGTAATACAAATAGTGATATAATTTGTACTAATTGCAGCACCAGTGACAATCATTAAGAGACTTGGTGACCATTGCTCATGCTATTTCATAATCCTGGCGGAGAAAATATAGTCAAGTGAACAATATTTTTTTTGCCATAAAATACTAACCTTGATGAAAACAATGTTAGTGCCAGTTTTATTAATCAAGGAATTCTATAAATTATCCATCAGAAGATGAAACAATCATCTATAGCAATAAGGAAAGTGAGGGTAAGTGGTGACATAACACTATGCTTTGCTACAATCATTTTCCCAGTTTCTGCTACGATATCTGATTCTGATGGGAAGGTGAAAGAACCAATGGCAGGGGGGGAGGTGAATGAGGTGGGTCGGGAAGAGGCAATGTGAGGTAGGGGGGGGCAAGAGGCAATGGGAGGGGGACAAGAGGCAATGGGAGGGGGACAAGAGGCAATGGGAGGGGGACAAGAGGCAATGGGAGGGGGGGGGGAAAGAGGCAATGGGAGGGGGGAAAGGCAATGGGAGGTGGGGAAAGGTAATGGGAGGAAGAGGCAACAGGAGGGAGAAGTGGTAATGAAAGAAGAGGCAACAGGAGGGCGCATACCTGGAGAGGATTTCGGGAGTTCTTCTACTTCCCAAGCCTGGCCTGAGACCAGGCTCGACATGTGATAACTTGGTCCAACAGGCTGTTGCTTGGAGCGGCCTGCAGCCCCACATATCTACTGCAGCCTGGCTGGTCTGGCACTTCTTGCAAGAACCTGTCCAAGTGCCTCTTGAATACATCTACTTCCAGCAATATTTCTAATGCTTGCTGGGAGGGTGTTGAACAGCTGTGGACCTCTGATCTTCAGGCAGTGTTCTCTGATTGTGCCTATGCAACCTGTTCTCGCAAATTTAATAAGTCAATATTGACTTAAATATGTGCATAGGTGACATACTTAACATAATAGATACCCTTAAAAAGATCCATAGAAAACACCGACCTTACCTAACCTTGTTAGTATCTTAAGATAAGCATCTTATAGCTTCGTAATTACAATTATTACCTAACCTATAATAGGTATAGGTTAAGTAATAATTGTAATTACGAAGCAATAAGATGCTTATCTTAAGACACTAACAAGGTTAGGTAAGGTCGGTGTTTTCTATGAATCTTTTTAAGGGTATCTATTATGTTTAGTATATCACCTATGCACGTAGTTAATAAGTCAATATTGAATTTACGAATTTGCGAGAACGGGTTGGCCTATGGCATCTCTACTCCTTATTGGTTCTATTCTGTATTTCCTTCCGTACCTTTCGCTCTAGTTTGTTGTTATTCCATTGTGCAAATATGAAACCTGGCTCCATAGAATTTTCCACATATATTATTTGATACCTTTCTCATCTCCTTTCCAGAGAGAACAATTTTAGAGCTTTGAAACGGTCCCAATAATTTACATGTTTTATTGTTTCTATGTGTGCCGTATATGTTCTCTATATACCTTCTAATTCAGAGAGCTCTTCCACTCTGAAAGGGAAAGCAAGTACCGAGCAATTTTCAAAATGGGACAGCACCAGTGATTTAAATAGTATTAGCATTGCTGTGGGGTCCTGCTTAATACCTGCTTGATGGGGTTCTGAGAGTTCAACTCCCCATGTACCGGCCCGAGGCCAGGCTTGACTTGTGAGAATTTGGAAACTAGATTGTTGCTTGGAGTGGCTCGCAGACTCTCATATCCACCACAGCCCAGTTGGTCTGGCACTCCTGGAATAAAATTATCTAGTTTTCTCTTGAAGAAGTCCACGGTTGTTCCAGCAATATTTCTTATGCTCGCTGGGAGGATGTTGAACAACCGTGGACCTCTGATGTTTATACAGTGTTCTCTGATTGTGCCTATGGCACCTCTGCTCTTCACTGGCTCTATTTTCTTTCATATCGTTCACTCCAGTATGTTGTTATTTTAGTGTGTAGATTTGGGACTTGGCCCTCCAGTATTTTCCACGGGTATATTATTTGATATCTCTCATCTCCTGACCAGTGAGTACATTTGGAGAGCTTTGAGACGATCCCAATAATTTAGGTGCTTTATCGCATCTATGTATGCTGTATATGTTCTCCCATCGGCGGGAGGGAAGGAGGCAGAGGGAGGGAGGGAAGGAGATTGCTGCAGGAGAGAAGAAGGCAGAGGTGGGAGGGAAGGAGGCTGTGGTGGGCCGGAAAAAGAATGGATAAGAAATATGCGGGAGGAAGATATGCCGGAGGATGTGCTAAAGGATAAGGTAGATAATGAAATACGTAAGGATATACTAGAGGATGATATGCTAGAAAATATGCTGGAGAATCATACACTGAAGTATGATAGGTCAGAGGAGGATATGTAAGAGAATTATATACTAAAGGAAATGCTGGAGGATGATATACTAAAGAATGATATACTGAAAGTTGAAATATTAGCAACTGACATGCCAGAGGATGACATGCTGGAGGATGACATGCTGGAGGATGACATGCTGGAGGATGACAAGCTGGAGGATGACAAGCTGGAGGATGACAAGCTGGAGGGATGACAAGCTGGAGGGATGACAAGCTGAAGGGATGACAAGCTGGAGGATGACAAACTGGAGGATGACAAGCTGGAGGAAGACAAGCTGGAGGAAGACAAGCTGGAGGAAGACAAGCTGGAGGATGACATACTGGAGGATGACATGCCAGAGGATGACATGCTGGAGGATGGCAAGCTGGAGGATGACATGCTGGAGGATGACAAGTTGGAGGATGACCAGCTGGAGGATGACCAGCTGGAGGACGACCAGCTGGAGGACGACCAGCTGAAGGATGACAAGCTGGAGGATGACAAGCTGGAAGATGACAAGCTGGAGGATGACATGCTGGAGGATGGCAAGCTGGAGGATGGCAAGCTGGAGGATGACAAGCTGGAGGATGACATGCTGGAGGATGACATGCTGGAGGATGACCAGTTGGAGGATGACCAGCTGGAGGATGACCAGCTGGAGGATGACCAGCTGGAGGATGACCAGCTGGAGGATGACCAGCTGGAGGATGACCAGCTGGAGGATGACCAGCTGGAGGATGACATGCTGGAGGATGACATGCTGGAGGATGACAAGCTGGAGGATGACAAGCTGGAGGATGACAAGCTGGAGGATGACAAGCTGGAGGATGACATGCTGGAGGATGACAAGCTAGAGGATGACAAGCTGGAGGATGACATGCTGATGGATGACAAGCTGGAGGATGCAAGCTGGAGGATGACATGCTGGAGGATGATATGCTAGAGGATGACATGCTAGAGGATGACAAGCTGGAGGATAACATGCTGAAGGATGACATGCAAGAGGATGACATGCTGGAGGATGACATGCAAGAGGATGACATGCTGGAGGATGACATGCTGGAGGATGACAAACTAGAGGATGACATGCTAGAGGATGACATGCTGGAGGATGACATGCCAGAGGATGACAAGCTGGAGGATGACATGCTAGAGGATAAACTGGAGGATGACATACTGGAGGATGACAAGCTGGAGGATGACAAGCTGGAGGATGGCAAGCTGGAGGATGACATGTTGGAGGATGACATGCTGGAGGATGACAAGCTGGAGGATGAAATGCTGGAGGATGACAAGCTGGAGGATGGCAAGCTGGAGGATAGCAAGCTGAAAGATGACATACTGGAGGATTACATGCTGGAGGATGGCATGCTGGAGGATGGCATGCTGGAGGATGGCATGCTGGAGGATGACATGCTGGAGGATGGCATGCTGGAGGATGGCATGCTGGAGGATGGCATGCTGGAGGATGACATGCTAGAGGATGAGAGGCTGGAGGATGACATGCTAAAGGATGACATGCTAGAGGATGACATGCTAAAGGATGACATGCTAGAGGATGACATGCTAGAGGATTACAAGCTGGACGATGGCATACTAAAGGATGACATGCTGGAGGATGACATGCTGGAGGATGACAAGCTGAAGGATGATAAGCTGGAGGATGACAAGCTGGAGGATGACAAGCTGGAGGATGACATGCTGGAGGATAAACTGGAGGATGACATGCTGGAGGATGAAAAGCTGGAGGATGGCAAGCTGGAGGATGACAAGCTGGAGGATGGCAAGCTGGAGGATGACAAGCTGGAGGATGACAAGCTGGAGGATGACAAGCTGGAGGATGATATGCTGGAGGATGACAAGCTGGAGGATGACAAGCTGGAGGATGACAAGCTGGAGGATGACATGCTGGCGGATGACATGCTAGAGGATGACATGCTAGAGGATGACAAGATGGAGGATAACATGCTGAAGGATGACATGCAAGAGGATGACATGCTGGAGGATGACATGCAAGAGGATGACATGCTGGAGGATGACATGCTGGAGGATGACAAACTAGAGGATGACATGCTAGAGGATGACATGCCAGAGGATGACAAGCTGGAGGATGACATGCTGGAGGATAAACTGGAGGATGACATACTGGAGGATGACAGGCTGGAGGATGGCAAGCTGGAGGATGACATGTTGGAGGATGACAAGCTGGAGGATGGCAAGCTGGAGGATGGCAAGCTGGAGGATGGCAAGCTGAAAGATGACATACTGGAGGATGACATGCTGGAGGATGGCATGCTGGAGGATGGCATGCTGGAGGATGGCATGCTGGAGGATGACATGCTGGAGGATGACATGCTGGAGGATGACATGCTGGAAGATGACATACTGGAGGATGACATGCTGGAGGATGGCATGCTGGAGGATGGCATACTGGAGGATGGCATGCTGGAGGATGACATGCTGGAGGATGACATGCTGGAGGATGACATGCTGGAAGATGACATACTGGAGGATGACATGCTGGAAGATGGCATGCTGGAGGATGGCAAGCTGGAGGATGGCAAGCTGAAAGATGACATACTGGAGGATGACATGCTGGAGGATGGCATGCTAGAGGATGGCATGCTGGAGGATGACATGCTGGAGGATGACATGCTGGAGGATGATATGCTGGAGGATGGCATGCTGGAGGATGACATGCTGGAGGATAACATGCTGGAGGATAAACTGCAGGATGACATGCTGGAAGATGCAAGCTGGAGGATGACATGCTGGAGGATGACATGCTAGAGGATGAGAGGCTGGAGGATGACATGCTAAAGGATGACATGCTAAAGGATGACATGCTAGAGGATGACATACTAGAGGAAGACATGCTAGAGGATGACAAGCTGAAGGATGACAAGCTGGATGATGACAAGCTGGAGGATGACAAGCTGGAGGATGACAAGCTGGAGGATGACAAGCTGGAGGATGACAAGCTGGAGGATGACAGGCTAGAGGATGACATGCTGGAGGATGACATGCTGGAGGATGACATGCTGGAGGATAAACTGGAGGATGACATGCTGGAGGATGAAAAGCTGGAGGATGGCAAGCTGGAGGATGACAAGCTGGAGGATGGCAAGCTGGAGGATGACAAGCTGGAGGATGACAGGCTGGAGGATGGCAAGCTGGAGTATGACATGCTGGAGGATGACATGCTGGAGGATGACATGCTGGAGGATGACATGCTGGAGGATGAAAGGCTGGAGGATGAAAGGCTGGAGGATGAAAGGCTGGAGGATGAAAGGCTGGAGGATGACAAGCTAGAGGATGGCAAGCTGGAGGATGACAAGCTGGAGGATGACAAGCAGGAGGATGGCAAGCTGGAGGATGACAAGCTGGAGGATGGCAAGCTGGAGGATGACATGCTGGAGGATGACATGCTGGAGGATGACATGCTGGAGGATGACATGCTGGAGGATGACATGCTGGAGGATGACATGCTGGAGGATGGCATGCTGGAGGATGGCAAGCTGGAGGATGACATGCTGGAGGATGACATGCTGGAGGATGACAAGCTGGAGGATGGCAAGCTGGAGGATGACAAGCTGGAGGATGGCAAGCTGGAGGATGACATGCTGGAGGATAAACTGGAGGATGACATGCTGGAGGATAAACTGGAGGATGACATGCTGGAGGATGACAAGCTGGAGGATGGCAAGCTAGAGGATGACAAGCTGGAGGATAAGCTGGAGGATGGCAAGCTGGAGGATGACATGCTGGAGGATGACATGCTGGAGGATGACATGCTGGAGGATGACAAGCTGGAGGATGAAATGCTGGAGGATGACAAGCTGGAGGATGGCAAGCTGGAGGATGGCAAGCTGGAGGATGGCAAGCTGAAAGATGACATACTGGAGGATGACATGCTGGAGGATGGCATGCTAGAGGATGGCATGCTGGAGGATGACATGCTGGAGGATGATATGCTGGAGGATGGCATGCTGGAGGATGACATGCTGGAGGATAACATGCTGGAGGATAAACTGCAGGATGACATGCTGGAAGATGCAAGCTGGAGGATGACATGCTGGAGGATGACATGCTAGAGGATGAGAGGCTGGAGGATGACATGCTGTTGGATGACAAGCCAGAGGATGACATGCTGGAGGATGACAAGCCAGAGGATGACATGCTGGAGGATGACAAGCCAGAGGATGACATGCTGGAGGATGGCATGCTGGAGGATGACAGGCTGGAGGATGACATACTGGAGGATGACATACTGGAGGATGACAAGCCAGAGGATGACTAGCCGAAGGATGACAAGCTGGAGGATGACATGCTGGAGGATGACAAACCAGAGGATGACAAGCCAGAGGATGACAAGCCAGAGGATGACATGCTAGAGGACGACATGCCGGGAGGATGACATGCCGGGAGGATGACATGCTGGGAGGATGACATGCTGGAGGATGACAAGCTAGAGGAAGAGGAGATTCACAGAAAACATTTACAATATAACATTTTTTATGTTTTAAAATATAGTGCAAATTATAAATATTTAACATTAGCATCTATATATTTCCCAAAAATAAATTGATACATCACAAGCCAAAGATAAAACTGAAGTGTAAGTTTAACAATAACAAAAATATGAATGAAATGTACTTACTTGTTCCAGTGGGATTTGGAATTCTTATATAGCGCTGGGAACATTATAGGAAGGATTGTTTGCGCATTATCACTAATCAATGATAGGATATATTCATTATTCCAATAATAGAGAGCTCTTTCTGCAACCTGAAAAAATTTATACAAAAGCTGATATCTTGTATTATATTCTAAGCTGGGAACAAAAATGATGAATAGCTGAGAACATATATAATGAGAACTATATCGCATACCAGTATGATGAGCATTCACAATTGAAAACAAGGTTTACCTGATATCAAATAGAATTAGTGCATAGCCTCCCCACATGAGAACCTACATATTCTTAGATATCTATCACGCGAAGTAAATCTACTCTGGTACTCTTTACTAAAGATTCTAAACTTCTTCATATAATAAATAACATTCAAGTCTTCCCATAACAATTACAGTGAAACCTTGGTTTTCGAATGCCCGTTTTCAAATTTTTCAGTTTTTAATCTCAATTTCTTTGAAAATTCGCCTCGGTATTCAAAGTTTGCCTCAGTGCTCGAGTCTGTTAATACACCTATGGGCCGACCGAGCATATGGTGCGCTTCAGTTTACCAGTGCCTCCCATCTAGTGATGATCGCACTTGAATTCTTTGAAGAATTTCATTGTTTTTGTGCTTTTTTTGCTTGCTGAACATAAAAGCTCCTATTATATATCATGCCATGGGTTCCAAGAAAGTCAGTGGTTAAGTTCAACCTAAGAAAATAGTTGTGTGGATGACAATAGAGGAAAACAAGAGATTGTTCATAGCGAGACAATGTGATGTCTCACTGCAGACAAGCCTTAAAATGTAGGGCAAAACAAGTGTCTATAGACACATTCTTAGTAAAACAAGCAAGCAGTGAGCCACAACCAGGTCCTAGTGGTATGCCAGCAAAAAGTAAGAGAGTACACACAGAAATCACAATAGCGTGATGTATCAATAAACAAATCCACAACGGCCGTGACGAGGATTCGAACCTGCGTCCGAGAGCATCCCAGACGCTGCCTTAATCGACTGAGCTACATTATAAAAGAATTGCAACCAGAAATTCTACCGAATTTACTTGGATCCTGCAGCCTCTCCAAGACACAAACCAGGATTTTACACAATTCCCCCATGCACTCGAACTATGCACTCTCGGACGCAGGTTTGAATCCTCATCATGGCCCTAATGGATTTGTTCATTTGATACATCACGCTATTGTGATTTCTGTGTGCAATGAAGTAAGGGCGAAGAGGTAGAACGGCCTATTGACATAGCTCGAGTGCATGGGGGAAATTGTGTAAAATCCTGGTTTGTGTCTCGGAGAGGCTGCAGGATCCAAGTAAATTCAGTAGAATTTCTGGTTGCAATTCTTTTACTAATTCATAGCTCAGTCGATTAAGGCAGCGTCTGGGATGCTCTCGGACGTAGGTTCGAATCCTCGTCACGGCCCTTGTGGATTTATTCATAAAAAAGTACACCCCAGAAATGTCATCTCAGCTGTTCTAATGCAAGGGGGACTCCCCTTCCAAACACTAACACTCTCCTCATTCCCCTTTCCTGTCTTCCATACGCCAACAATAGTCTTCAATAAAGGTCAGGTACCTAAGAGAATTATTTTGTATAAAATATATTTTTTAGTTAATGTATTTGGGGGGTATAGAACGGATTAATTCAATTTACATTATTTCTTATAGGAAAATTTGTTTCAGTTTTCAAATCGTCTCTAATAACGGATTAAATTTGAAAACTAAGGTACCACAGTATTCTTTCAGAAAGATGATACTTTCTATTCAGTTATCAAATGAGTAAGGCAATATATAAAAAGCCGTTAACGATGCATCCGTTAAAACCCCAATGTCTTTCCGGAATGAAATGTCATTGCTCATCAAAGATATAACTTGTACAGGGGTACCTCGGTTTAAGAATTTAATCTGTTCATGGAGACGGTTCAAAACCAGAAAATTTGTAAACCAAAGCGAATTTCCCCATAAGAAATAATGGGAAATGAATTAATCCATTCCTGACTCACCAAAAACTTCACTTCAAAGTAAATTTTATACCTAATTCACCCAAATCTTCACTACAAAAGAATGTTCAAATTATTACTTACCCTTGCTGATGACTCCTGTTGGCATATGGAAGATGGTGAGGAGGGGGGAGAAGAAGAGATGTTACTGTTTGGAAGGGGAGTCCCCTTCCATTATAACATCAGGCAGTGAAGATTTCTGCCTGCATACCACTAGGTCCTGGTTGTGGCTCACTGCTTGATTTTCTAACAAGGAAACATTCCACTGACGATTGCTTTTCCCTTCTTCGCAACACTTGTTTGTAGTGAGGTATCACATTGTCATTGAAAAGATTAATGCAATGGCCTACTACAGCTTTCTCTGGGCGAGTCGTTTCATGCTTACCAAACTATTTTCATGCTTATGAATGATCTCTTGTTTTTCCTCTATGGTCATTCTCACATGTGATTTCTTGCCTTGAACCTTACCACTGGCTTTCTTGGGACCCATAGCGATATATATAATAACAACTTTTATGGTCAAATAGCCAAAAATCTGAAAAGAAACTGTAAATCCTTGCGAAGAATTCAGGCGGAATAGTCACTGGGCACGAAGCACTGGTAAACTGAGGCACAATCGCCGTGCCACCACGCGCTAGGTCGGCCATACGCGTATCAACAAACTCGTATCCCAAGGTAAAGTTTGAATCCCGATTCAAATTTTCTGAACAAATCGGGCTCGTAACCCGAAAAGGTTGTAAACGGGTGTTCGTAAACCAAGGTACCACTGTATTATGATGCAAAACTTTTCATCTTTGAAACAAGTTCATGTATTCAGGATAATGTCTGAACATGTACCAACACTTGGTAGTCAGGAAATTATAATTACTTTGAAGCATGGCATTGTTTTTACCTGAAAGTGCGGAGATGAGACACATTTGGACAGTTGACGAAACAATGGAACCATCACCTTTACAAATTCATTTGGTTCAATAACGTCTAAGATCTCTTCTAGCTCATTTAGGAACATCACCTGCAAAACGAGAAACAATATTTAATCTTCCATCAAACATTGTTGGCGGAACAGCAATTTTACTTGAAACAAAATATTCTTCAGAGAACATATACAGTACAGAAGAGTATATAGGAAAAAACTAGCGTCGAATGTAATGAAACTCCATTTTCTGGGTGAGACCTCGGAGGCTCCCTGGAGCTTACTAGGCTGATATGCTAATGTCAGACTTTGGCATCAGTCATGTGTACGGAGTTCTGTGGGCCTACCAGGGACCACGAGCCAGAACCTGGCCCCCCTCAGAGAGGAAAGGGGAGCAATGGCCTATAGACACCCCAGCGTGGTTGGAAGCATTCTATGTCTGCCATCGACTGGGTCAGGCACCCAGAAAGGTAAGCATCCCAAAACAAACCCATATTCTGTTGAAAATATTGCTACCAAAAGCCAAACAAGTGGATAGAACTCCCCTAAAAGAAATGAGCAAATGAGCACGACGTCACATGTTGCCAAGCCGCTGTCTGCGCAGCTCACCATTCCCTGGGAGGGGGAAGGGGAAGCCCCAGACCCCGATGCAGGCTATCCACCTGTCAGTTCTGAGGCTGGATGTCTAAACACATGAAAAAACGCCTACCGGAGGGAGAGAGGGATGCCGGGGAGCCTCCGGGTCTCACCCAGAAAATGGCGTTTTATTACATTCAACGCTGGTTTTCTGGGGGGGAGCCTCTTCGGCTCCCCGAAGCTAACTACCCACAGAGGAAAACATAGGGACTTACCCGAGAGGCGGTCGCTGCTAACTCCTCAACTCGAACTCGAGACAACTGGCTGCAGCCGCTGACCCAAAGCGACACAGGCTCGACGAGGCCCCACAGACGTTCACTAGGTAACGAGCAGCCAGGACCCTGTTCGACCGCCAAAAGCCCCATGCCCGAATGTCAGCCCAGGACATGTTGCCAAAGACGGCAGCAAGAGCAGCAAACTTACGAATATCATGGGCACTGGGATAGACCGCAGGCTGGCTAGCCTTAATAACTCTGCGGACGACCTGGGAGACCCACACCCGGGAACAGGGAAGAAGGGAAACCGGATCAACCCAAAACGCGTCCCCAGACACAGAAGCCGTGGCGCACATATAATGGCGAAGAGCCGCCACAGGACACAAAACATGATGCACCCCCGGCATGACCAACCAAGCATCAACAACCCAGGGACACCTCCGGAAACAGCAGACTCATTCTTCACCAGAAAAGGAGGAGATGGCTGCAAACGAACAAATGCATCACGAAGCCCGAAGGAGCAGAAACCTGTGCCGGAGGAGAGAATGAAGCTCCCCAACCCGACCCACAGAGGCCAATGCCCACAGAAAAAGAGCCTTGGAGAAACAATCTTGAACCAAAGGGGCCACAACAAACCGAGGAAAAGAAAAGAGAGCACTCTGTCCAAAGACCAGGACGGCTTAAGCAGTGCATGAGCAGGCCAGAGGTAAAATAATGCACAAAACAGCTTGCAAAATGGCGCAGGAGTAACACCAATACCGAAAGCAAGCTGAAGCAGCTCCGCCAGCGCCACACGATACGAGGCAACAGTGTTAGGCATAAGGTGACGGTCCTGGAACAACTAAGAGAGAAAGGACACCACCACCCGAACAGAAAGCAAAACACAACGACGAAGACGTGAAAGGAACGAGAAGGACCACCAGGAGATCTTATACTGCCGCCAAGACGAAACCCACAGGTGGGACACCAATAAAGAAGCCAGCTGATCACCAGAGAGATGATGATCAACCCGAGTCAAAAAGACCATACGCGAAGACTCGAGGAGAAGATCGAACCAGCCACATGACGCACTAGGCTGATCTGTTGGAAGAGGCGGAGCTGCGGGAAAGCCTCCAGGTTCGGACAACAGGCAAGCAGCGCCTAAAACCACGTCTGGGCCGGCCACCACGGGGCCAAGAGGACTACTCTCCCCTGGTAGGTCTCCAAGCAAGTCAGGACCTGGAGCAACAGCTGAACTGATAAAAAAAGGTACAGGTACCCCCACCCAGACCAGTCCTGCCGAAAGGCATCGACCCCGATGGTCTCGCAATCGGAGAAGGGCGCCACATACTGGGGAATGCGCCACGACCACGCCGACGCGAAGAGGTCCACCTCGGGGTGCCTGAACGTCTGGCAGAGCCAACAGAAGGAGGCGGCGTCGACCGTCCATTCCGTGGAGAGGGGAACGAAACGAGACAGACCGTCGGGCCAGACATTGGAAACTCCCCGCAGATGAATAGCCTGGAAAGCCAAACCACGAGAACTCAGCAGACGAGTCACCTGAAGCAACCAGCACCAAAGACCGCTTCGAACCCCCCCTCGATTCGATGGGGGGTTCGAATCCCCCAGACTGCAATCAAAGCAGTCCAAATGGAGCCGGATCGTCGATCCCCGGGCGACCCAAACCCTCAGAAGTGCAAACCACAGTGCTGCGAACTCCCGCACCATGCTGTGGGCCCGACGGAAGGAAGGACAGACCCCACCGCCCCTGACCGGCCTGATGAGCACGAGTCATAAGGCCCCAGCCGAGAGATGAAGCGTCCGTGAACACATCGAGCGAGGGTTCGGGCAGGCGCCAAGGCACTGAACCCGGAAAAATCCGAAGAGGAAGCCGCCGAAGCAGCAGCCGACGCAAGGCCCCTGGGGGTCGAACCAAGGGATCGCGATAAAGGTGGAAGGGACGTCCCCGTAGGAACCAGAACAGCCGATGAAGCCAAACCCAACCTGGTGGGTAGACCATCATTGCGAAGTTCAGTCTCCCGCACAAACCCTCGAGCAACCGTAGAGTGACCTGCGAGTCCCCCAGAAATAGGCACAAGCGGGACGTAGCCGGAGGAGAGACTCCGGAGGAAGAGACAAGGAAGCGGTTCGAGAGTCCCACACAAGACCCAGTCATGACCAAACCTGGGAGGGAACCAGATGGGACTTCCTCCAGTTCACCAAGAACCCGAACTCGGCGAGCTGGGAAAACACCAAATCCCTAGCTAGCAGACAACTGGACCAGCTGGGAGCCCAAACCAGCCAGTCGTCAAGGTAGGCCAACACCCAAACACCTAACAAATGCAGACATGCATACAGGCCACGACGACCCGCATAAGGCGTGTGAACACGTGAGGTGCCAGATTCAACCTGAATGGGAGACAATGAAAGAGGTAACCTTGATGCCCACAACAAAACCAAGCCAGTCCCTAAACTGCGGATGAATCGGGAAGTGCAAATAAGCGTCCTGGAGGTCCAGGGACACCATCCAAGGATCCCAGCTCCAACAGGAGCCGAATTTGAGACAACGTAGTCATCCGAAAGAAGGGGTAATGAACGTAGGGGGGTTCAGATGGGACAAGTCCAGAATGAACCTCAGGTCCGCACAGTCCCGTTTCAGCACTGGGAAAAAGACGGGAAACCCATCTGAGGGACGACAACGTTTCAATGACGCCCAAGCGTCAACTTAACGGAGCGCAGAGGAAGAGGCCTGCCCCGCCAGCCCCGAACCCCTCAAAGGAGGAGGGGCCACCCAACGCCCCCCCGTAGGCCGAAGGAAATGACCCGAAATGCTCACAAATCCTGGGACCTGGCGTGAGCAAACAGCACAGGCCTCCCCCCCATCAATGGGGTAAACCACGAAAGAGCCGGCGCCCCTTACGAGACCCAAAACTTCGCGCAGAGCCGACCAGACGAAGGCGGGTCCAAAGGCAGAGCCGAACCCGAAACTGGCACCAGAGGCCCATAATGACGAGTAGAACCCCGAGCCCTGGTACGGCCTCTCCGAAAAGGATCCCCCCCCCCCTCCGGGACCCCCGGAAAACCAACAAGTCAGACATATGATGGCAACTGGCCGAAGCAGCCTGAATATACGCGCCACGGCCGAAGGAGCAAAGAGCAAAGGACAAAAAGGAGAAGACATCCTAAGAGCTAGGGTGCAGGCCGGTTCCAAGGAGGAAGCAAACACCGCCTCTCAACACACGAGCCGGGAAGCATAGAACAGGGAAACCGCATCCCGCAAGATTGGTGCAAACAGCTTCAACAAGGCCGATGATGCGTACGCTGCCAAGCCAAAGGCACCGGACCCCGGAATGGACCCGAGCTCCTCCACATCCTCCCCAAGCCAGTCTGAAGACAGCTCCAGGAAGGAAAAGAAGCGCAAGGCCGAAGTCAAGAAGCCCTGGGCACGCAAGTCCTCGGCCACCTGCGCAGCCAACAGGGAGGGAACCTGCACATAGAGCTGCAGAATGCCAATATCCCGGGAAGGGCAGGAGCAAACAATCACTCATTGAGGTGCTCAAGTTCACCCCCCCCAAGAAAACCTGAACCACCGTCGAGACCTCGCGCCACTCAAGCGTTCGGGAACGACAGAAAGAATGTCAAGCCTCCAAAGCAAAAATAGGACAGTCCGCCAGCCAAGATGACTCCGGAACCTCGTAACGGACCCAGAAAGAGAACGAATTCCCAAATCTGAAACACGACGGATTCATCACCAAGGCATAATCCGGGTCATGCAAGAGGTAAGAACTCCATACACATGGCTGATGCCAAAGTCTGGCATTAGCATATGAGCATAGTAAGTTCCGGGGAGCCGAGAGGGCTCTCCCCAGAAATTACTGTAATAACATACAAGCTTTTGTCCCATTCTGCAAACAGAACTAAATATGTCGACAGGATAATAAGCCAAAGACTTATAGGGAAATTTTTAAGGAAAGCAAATTGAATTCTTATATAACTTACTATTACCTATAGGAGAAATAACCTAATTCAAACCATGTTTTCTGAGAGGGAAAAAGTGTTTTTTTTTTTTTTCCCCCCATGATACTGTATATTAAAACACTCGCGCGCCCAAGTGCACCCGGCGAACAAGGAAAAAAGTTAGCGCAATGTGCTCTCGGCGTTTGCGGGCGATCGAGCGGAAACACTGAAAAGTGTATACTCTTTTTACTGTCCTGATCTTAATTTTCGATGTACAGATTTCATTTTTTTACCAATGTGTTCGCAATAGAA